GTCAAACCCTTCGTTAGAGGTGTGTACGTTGCCCTCTAACTTTAGAATTCATAGTATAATCATATCGTTATGTTCATAGGATTACCCGGCTAAACCTACGCGCATCCACGTTATCATGACTCTTCGTTAGTTAGACCTTTCAACTTTGCATTTGATAGCATAATCGTTAAGAACCTTTACAAATTCATTAATTACTGAAGCCGGAAACATAAACGTTCAACTCTAAAACTCTTAACGTATTGATGAAAACCCAACAGGCAAAATAGGAGTCGGCGTGCCTTAACAATCGATTCACAGAACATGACAATCGATTATTGGGTCACGCAGAACTCCTTGGTTAAACTTGCAAGCGTGATAATCGATTATCACAAAGGTCATAATCGACTATTAGGCCCTGCAGGTTCTGGGTCAGAGTTTGGTTTCGCTGATAATCGATTAACGCCATGTACTAATCGATTATCAGGCCTCTCTGAACTTGGATTCTCCGAACAAACAAACATGACAATCGATTGTCACAAAGTGACAATCGACTAACGCAAGCTGCAGGACTTTGGGAACAGAAGCTACATTGCGAGATAATCGATTATCAGGAAGGGGTAATCGATTATCAGCCAGTTCTGAACCCAGGACATCCTTTCTGTGCAAATCATTTCTTATGGAATCAAACGTACAAAATATGTGCTAAATTTCGTAATGCATTCATACCAACATGAATATCCTAGACGCATGTTTAGGATCATGGCATACTTTGCATACCGCGACAAGAGGTCAGGCCCAGTGCGCCTCTTCCGCGGGCCCGTTCCGGAGCCTACGGGGTCCAGCGGGTTCACATATCGAGGGCTTGTGTACGTACATGGTAGCTAGGCTTGGCTATCACCCACATTGCTAGTCTCCAACGGGATGCTTAAGTCGTTCCTTGGCTCATCTACCGCGTGGGGATGGTCACCGAAGGGCAGGGGTGTCCCTGCGTAGTCTAACCCATGCATCATGACCACTTGGCATTGCATCATTGTTCATTAGTGTCTCTTGTTGTAAAATGTGTGAGTAGTCTCTCGCACTTTAGTACAGGTATGATTATGTTTATATCAATGTGAATGTACTATGTGTTCTTCTATTAGATTACCACTCAGCTTTTGCTGAGCGTATAGCGTTGTTTCATTTTGCTATACGCAGGTAGGCCAGAGGATCATGGAGCCTGACCCGGACGATTGGGTGATCGGAGCGGCGGATGAACGACAGTGGAGAATCCATTTAATTATGAAAACGTTTTGGGCTGAACCCACCGTTGTTGCACTTATGTTACTAAAGACTTAACGGTTTTATATACATTTTCTTCCGCTATAAATATTCTCCTAAACTCAATTTGTCTCCATCATTAAATAATATTTACATCAAGGGTTTTCCGTTACAAGCAAAGCAAGAGTTTTTCTTTGTAGACGGCCTTAAAAACCGCCTACGTAACCTCTCTGGCTCGTTGGACCGCGGTGAACCGGGTTTGCGGGTTGGAGGGTGTTACATTTTGGTATCAGAGCCTGGTTCTAAAAAAAAAAGTTAAACCTATTTCTAAAAAAAACATTTCCTCCAGGGTCCACTGTCGCATCCCGCTTCGTATCTCCACCGGGAAAGGTAACCATTATCAACTACAAGAAATTCAATGTTTTGCCGCACTTAAAATCGTTGTTTGCCGCACTTATAAATGTGGAAAAAACTATTTACCGCACATGTGCTAAGTGCGGCTACGTAAATGTGGGGAATTTTTTGCCACACTTTAGATAAGTGCGGCCAATGAAACACGTTAGTCACACTTATAAGTGTGGCTAGTACTTTATTTTGTGACACTTATATGTGTTCTTAATGCACCACACATGCAAGTGTAGAGAATATCTCTTATTTAAAAGTAACAAATAAATGTGGCAAACAATGACAACAAACAAACTTGAAAATTCAAAATCCAACTCATTGATGGCAGATATTTGTCGATAATATTTTTAAATTTTAGAATTTTATTAAAAATAAAGAAATACATTTAACATTCAAGTGGAGCTGTCCAGACCCCAACAACGGATCAAAAACAAAAATTAAACCTAAAGTAAAATACACCTAAAAACAAAATAATACTCCAAACCGCAATTGCTTCTTTTAGACTAGTGCAAATGTTAGCAGCCTAATTCCAAACCACAATTGCTTCTTTTAGTCTCAATCTGTGCAAGTTCTCAGGGTCTCCCACATAGCCATCTACCTCAAAACCTTAATATAGCTCAATCTGTTTGAAGACCAACTACAAACCAAGTATGGAATAAGCTATTTCAGTCAAAACCCAATCTCATGCTTCAAATCCAGCCTCAACAGATCTGCTACACTCCCAATCAGCCCTACCTTAACTAATAAGAGTCAAGTTTGCACATTCGAAGCCAAGCAAAAGTCGTAGTAGCTCACATCTTGTATCCAAACCTGTAACAATTGAAATGTTAGAACTCTGGTAGTTATCATATTTTTATATCTATAGTCCAAATAAACAATCCCCCCAAACAATAAAAGTTTCCCAAGTTACACTACAACTGAACATTTGACATGTAAAAGCTTCAAAACCAGAACTACTATGAGACTCCCTGATCCAAAAGAAAAGGTAAGTTCAATCCAAACAAAAACTTGTAAGATTTCTCAATTTCCCATCACCAAATACTAACCCTATGTTTGGTTCAAGGAATTTTGAAGGAAAAGAAAAGAAAAAAATTTTCTCTCATTTTCCTCACCAGAATGGGAGGAATTTGGTTTTTCCTCCACTTGTACATTTTGCCTTCTCATTCTCTTTTCCTTCCACTTTTCCTTTCTAACCAAACAAAAAACTTGTTTTCCACTTCATTTTCTTTTCTTTTCTCTTTTGAATTCCTTGAACCAAACATAGTGTAAGTATCAATTTCAAGTTAGATTAAAGCCACTTATGACTTATATATCATGCTAGAGGATCCAAAGGCAAACATCCTATATCGGGTTAAAAATAAGTATGTCGAGCATCTACAACAATCTATGAGAACCAAAAAAAGTGATAAGGTCGAACCTAGCATAGAACCAGGCCCAAAGCCATGATGAATAACAATTAGCACTGTCACCGCATCTAGAAAATCATCTGTCAGAGTATACTGCCAAACCACAGAATAAAAGCTCTTCTCTAAACATCAAAATTTAGAAGATTGAAAGAGTTGATTATCATTATTACATAATATAATATACTCTGTAATTTAAAATCAATCCCTATTTGGCAGCATATAAACAAAATATATAACCCAATACCTTGTGTTGCAGTTTTGAGTATAGTAACACAAATGAGAGAGCTGGAAGACTGTAGAAGGAAATCATCATGTCTAGTAAAACTCCAAGCTGCAAAGAGAAACCACATCATATGCTATGAACATATAAAAAAAGTTTTGGAAGTTTAAAAACAACATGCATGATTGTTCCATTGAAAAGTTAAAATACAGAGTACTCTGCATTATAAAGCAAGGAAAGATTTTATAAGCGCAAATGGGCTTAACAAAAAACCAATAACAGATAGGAAGAAAGTAATGAGCGGGGTAGTGCTGTAGTGAAATATCTATGAAAACGATGTGTCTATAAAGTAGTATGAGAATGAAGAAAAAACAAGACTATGAAGAATAAACTAGACTACACATAAATATGTAAGTATATATGTCAGAGTGCAGACTTTAAGCCAAGTACAAATCAAGTTATTATTTAGGGTACACCCCACTCAGAACTCTTATTCAACACAGAGTCAACCAATAATGTAACACCTGAATGGTATATAATTGGATC